ATAATAATAATAATAATAATAATAATAATTAATAATAATAATAATAATATATGTGCATTGTGTTATATATAACAGCAGTTTATGATAATTTGCGATGAGATTTTAAACTAGACGATAAATTAGATAGAAATTCACTTCAAGAAAATTGAATGCATCACGAGTGCATGTGCTGCAAGTGGTATTCTTTGTCTATAGTCTATATAACGGCTCAACAGTGAACGTTCGTTCGCAGAGAAGCATTTCGAACAAGTGGACAAGCTATTTGTCAGTCAAAAACGTAGATTGTCTAAGAGAAACAAAGACACGAAGGGACAGAAAGGACGAGAGAAGGATGTGAATGATGAGTCCGATTTTTTTAATGAAAGCCGCGCACCGCGTTGCGCGGAGAAAGAAAGAGTGCGTACACGGCCGCGTTTGTTTCTGAAGGACTCTTCAGACCACAGAATCATCCAGTTACGCCCCAGGGGATGAGGGAGCAAAATCCTAATAATCGTTGGTCGAAAAATATCGCCGGCAAACTCCCTCGACCGTTTAATTGCGCGCCGAGGTACAAAGCATATTGGTTTCCCGGTCGCATTTTCCTACTTTTCTTTCCATCAATCGCCCGTCCCAGTCTGCTTTCTCTCCCTTTGTTGCAATTTTCATCGAAATTTATCATATATAAGGATATCTGATATATATTTCAGCTAAAAAAATCACACAATCTCTTTCTCTCTTTTCTATTTTTATTAATATAAAATTTATTAATAACATTTACAATAGCATAATTAATAGTTTATATAGCTTTATTCGTATCTTTAAATTTGCTTTTTATATACACGTGGACTATTTTTATTTATATGTTCATATATATAATATTATTATTATGTATATAATATTATTTATATATATGTTTAATTACTGATATAAAAGTTAGAAAAGATAGATGTGAGATGTATAATTTTTCAATGTTGACACGATCTATTATTCTTCTTCCTTTTCGCTCTTTATTTTTTATTTGGCTTTTTTAATTATTTGCGATACTTAATTTTATATTTACAATATTCATCGCTCTTTTTTAATTTGCATCAAAGCAGATTGCAAATTATGGCGATATCGCTATTTTTTGCAGTTTTCTTCTTTCTTAACTAATATATCTGTGATAGTCACATGTTGGGAAAATCCAATTTATTATTTAAAAATATGATTATATCTGTGATTACATATCGCGCGTACACATACATACAGACAAACATTTGCAAACAAATATTATATTAAAAGCAGAATTATTAATAATGCAGCAGTTAAAAAAATTGTGATAAATAATATTTGAAAATCGCTTTTTTGTAATAATTTTTGTTCTTATAGAGATTAATTTAATAATTTTTTTTCAGAAATTTTGTAAACAGAATAATTAAACATTATGATAATTATATAAATCACAAAGAAAATAAAAATAAATATTATATATATATAGGGTGTCCCAGATCATTTGGGACAATACTCGTGTGCAGATAGAGCACGATAGAAGACTTTTCGACTCAGTTTGATCCGCTCTATCTGCACACGAGTATTGCCCCAAATGATCTGGGACACCCTGTATATATAATATATTAAAATTATATAAACTTTTAACATGCAGCAACAATGATTGTCATGAAAGTTATTCAATGAGCAATGAAGAAATAAATTTTCATATTGGATTGTTTGTTGAAATTCGAATTTCGAATCATGAAAATACACAATTTCTCGATTTATCGGCGTTTTAAATAGGCTATAAAAGCAAGAAATGTCTCTTGATTACAAACAGAATTGCGACATACTTTTTTTTAAATAGAAACTGTTGCTCTATATATTAATAAACGTTAAACTTGAAATCACTTAAATTACTTTGTACTAAAAGATAATTTTAGAAACTAACTTTAACTTGAGAAGTTGTGTGCAAAATATATCTCTTACATGATATTCCAAATAAGCACAGATATTGTTGAAACAATTTGCATTGTATACTAAAGTTCAATAAAAATGTATTACAAGTAACAATTTTATATATTATTACTATTAATTATTTGAAGTTACAAAAAATACTGAAGTTTTTAAATATGAATATTTATGGTCTCATATTTATCATCTCATATAATTACAATAATATTTCATTTGAAACAAACAATATTAACATCAGACGCGCGTGATAGGAAAATTTCGAAAAGAATAAGAACCAATATAGTTGTATCTCTTATGTTTGATATATTTGTTCTCAAAATATAACTAAAATATTCGTCTTTATAATAAGAGAACGCCCCCCTTATAATAATAACAAGATTTAATTAATTTTATTGTTACACGGAAATTTGATTTTTTATTTATAATGATTACATATTACGGATTGCATGGAAATATCCATTACGCAAATGGTGCATGATATAGTAACACCGTACGTCGAATAATTCAGCATTAAACGTAAAATCAAATATTTGTCACGAAAATTTCATATCCGGCGTCGTCTGATCATCAGTAGCTGCAATACCGATGTGTCATTTGCGGTATACCGGCTATTTCTGTTTGTTTTAAAATTTACTGATATTATTGCATTTATGTATTATGGCATTTATTATTTCTCATGCGAGAGAAGTTTAGAACGTTTCATATTATGCCATGTTATGAAATCATTTTAAATTTTTAGAACAATACTATTTTTATACAATATTCATAGACATACGTGTACGAATTAAAGTGTTGCTCATTAAAGAAACTACGCATTGAATTCGTGTGCGATATTTGAAATGCTATTAGAATCGCATTATAATCAAATTAATATTCATGTAGCTATTAAAATAATTATTCATATGATAAAGGTTTTTTTTGAAATTCTAAAATTATCTGTTTACTTGACTGATTTCGATTTTTGATTTGTAGCATCATAAAATTTTCTGAATTAGGATGATTTATTTTAACATTCTACTAAGATGATTGAAAGGGGAAAAACATAAGAATCATAGGAGAGAATATAATATATCTATTTTTAATTTAAATATAATACTAAAAATTGTGCGATAAAAAATGCATAGTTTAAATATGTTTAGTTTTAATTTCGGGAGAGAAACTTTATTAGAAGTTGCCGAAGATTATTACTCTTGGCACACAAAGTATTTATCTATTTTTTGACCGATCTTGCTTTGCAGATTCTCCATCTGCTTAATATATTAATACGTTCTTCTGAAAAAATATATATGGTCACTAAACCGTTTAGTTTTCTAAAATATTAGGCGTTTTTAACATATAACTTCGAATATACTTTTATTCAAGAGCTATCAACTTTTATTTATCAATTTACAATGTTCAGCGAAAAATATAATACAAATAACGCAATAGTTCTACAATTAATGTATTATTTTTATTAATATTTGAAATTGAAAACAATAGTCAAAATATTTTGAATTTTTTCCAAGATTATAGTATGTTAGAAATTTATCTTTAATTTTTTACGTTGCAAAAAATTAATTATAAATAATACATATCAGACTTTTTTAGTTATATTAGCTGTTGTTTGCACACATTTTGAATACGTAAATGCCGTTAGCTATAAATCACGTTGCGTGCAGATGAAGAAAATATTTATGCGATCTATTAAAACATACAAACCATGGCATCGAACGCTGCCATGGCCACGGCTGTCGCTATAGTGAACAGAATAGCGAGCAAATAAATTCTCATATTGTCGAAAAACAAAACATCGGCTCTCGAATCACAATTGATCGCGTTGCATGCATGCTTAAATAACGATGCAAACGTGCTATCTTGAAATTGGTTTGTATAATAATTGCTTCGATTCCTTTTACATATATTTATTTTCGATTAGCTTAAGATACATGACAGATCTTCATCTATTAAACTAGTTTTGCTAATTGTAACAAGTATTGCATTATTTGTTTTTTTACTATAGCAATGTTTATTAATATGTATAATTATATAGTATTATGCCAATCTGTCCAAATTGATTATAGCACGACATGTCTAATGCATTAGAGATTTAACATTAATGATTCCAATTATGTTACAAATTAAGATTAAGGATGATTTTCAGTCACAGTATTCTCTCTTTCATATTTGTCATATATATATAATAAAAAAATTAAACAAACAATGTGTGAAAAAACAATTAGCTCCTTAGATACTTTCGGCACTGCTTTCTTGAGAATCTACGTTTTTCTGGCCTATTTAGGCAAATTGCACTTAATTCTATCTATTTTTATTCTCGGCTGTCAATATTTACGTGATAAAAAAGTAGAGGATTGAATAAATTCATTATATTCTAATTTTAAAAATCTTAATTAAATAATTTAATGTATAAATTAATATAATCACACATAAATAGTATATATGTAAAGAAATATATACAATTTTAGAATAGCAAAATATATTCAAAGCAATAGTTCTCTTGGAAATTAATTAGATGATTTGTGACTGAATTTTATGAAAATTTCTTATAAAATCTAAGTTGTTCAACTAAGTAATTTATAAAATTTATATAACAAATATAGTATTATTAAATTAAGTACATCAAAATGTATTATTTATGTATTATGCGATAGTTTACGACCATCTTTGATAAAATCAAAATAATTTTCAAAGTTATAAATTATAAATTATAATAACCTTATTGTAATATGTACTAAAGGAAGAATATACAAGCATATAATATGGATATAATATATATTATGTATTTCTAGATATTTATAGTATATTTATTATAGACGAATTTTTTCTAGTATACAGATTTGTTCAAAATAAAATCTCAATATTTGAATTTTAAGCCACATATATGTATATCTATTAAAATCCCAATCTGACTTTTTTAAAAGAATGATTTTTATGACTGGCTTTAGCCAATCCACGATTTTCTGAAAATAAAAGAAAACGTTATTATAGAATTAAAATAATTTGACATTTTATATATACACATACACATTTCTCTCTTTTATTGAATCACTATTAAATCTACATATAACATGTCAGTTTCAACAAGAATTTAACACATTATATGGAAAAAACAATTGCCGTTTTTAGTTAGTTTGAGCCCGCATAAAATGTGTTAATATTAATTTACCATTAAAGTATAATCACAAATATAATAAGGTTGTAATTATTCGCGCAAATCTTGACTTACGCACGACACACGCAAACACGGTCACTATTGCATCTTCCTCCCGTCTTTCCTCTGAGAATGCAGTGAGCAGCGCAAGCACTATGGTCAACACCCGCACCAGATAAAAGATCACAAGTGAATCTACGTGTGCGATGGTGTTCTTTGACGGGTGTCACTTCCAATTTTAAAGATTCGTCTTCCTTCTGCGGCAGCAAGTCCACACGCATCGGTGCATTCTTATCTAGAATACATAATAGAGAAATGGTGTTATTATATCAAGATTATCACAATATCAAGAAAATTACAATATAAAGATAGTTATTATTATTTAAAAAAATTAAAATTATTACAAAAATACAGAATAAAAAACTTAAATAGTTACTTTAAAGATTTTGCATGTAAGTAGTAATAATAATGCTTTTTTTACTATACTAATATACATTTAAATATATTTTAAAGATTATTTTTAATGTATAAAAATGAAAACGCTTGCATGTATATTTAATTTATATAAAAAATCATCCTTCGCATGCGAACATTCTCATTAGGCCGTATATTTTCGTTGAGAGTAAATTATGAAATTATAGTAAATATATTTAGCAGCTTCTGATTATATGATATATACCTTCATTAGGAAGTGCGATGGCGACCGCAGTCACAACCAAAAGGGCGAACACGTAGTTCTTCATCTTGAGGAATGCTGAGCGTTTGTCAAGTCTTGTAGTAGAATATCGTTAAATAATTTGAGCGTTCGTTTTATATACTAGTCAGAGCTATTGCAAAATAAACATGATAATAAACGTGATTTCTCAAGTAAAGATATTTTATCGGAATTCCCCTGAGCAGAGATCACAGGGCAAAAATATAATACTTATATTACTAAAAATAGCACATTCTGTGATTACAATCGTAAAAATCAAATGTGTTAATATAACGATTTTACTTCCATCCTCATATTATAATGTATATCTTATATTTATAACGATCGCATCTCAGCAAAAGCGTCTTTACGATTTTTTTTATTAATGTTATTATTTTATAATAATATAATAATTGTTACAAAAAAATATTAATATTAACGAAAATATTTTATATTTTTTATCTAAAATGTCATTAAAAAAATATAAACATAATGCTTGAAAATTTCATATATAATTCTCATGAATATTATTCTTGATAATTAAAAACAGAAAACTCTATGCTTCTAGATCATAATTTTAACAAGATATATTTGCTAATATGTATAAAAATGATGGTGGCTTATTTTGTCAGCAAATATATTTACCAATGTTAATATTATTATGCATTTCTAAAGTCTCCATAACTCTTTTAAGGAAATTTCTTTTAAAACAAAATTCGTTAAGAATTCATTAATATAGAGCATATACATATATTCATATAAGGCATATTCTCTTTTAATACAAATAAAAATAATATGAATTAATTATGAACGACAAATTGCCGATTTATGTTATTATATTAAAATTTATTTTCAAATATTTTTTGCGCTGCAATTCTTAAGAGACTTTCTTCTTCAAATAAAAAGTATACATTATACCCAACCCTAATTTATGCAATATATTTATACAATATTATAGAGAATAGCGGATTATTCGCGACAAATTGGGAATTTATTAAATAATTAGTGATGGAATAAAATTTTTAGACATTCTAAATCGATCACCCAAATAATTCGTAGAGTTTCTACAATAAATTTGCTATTGAACAAACAAAGTACATTATCTATATGATATAAAATTTATTTGATCATAAAAATTCTTTAAGTTATGACTTGATTATGAATAATAAGCATGTGTTTCTGAAAAATATGTATAATGAAAAGCAAAAATCACATATATAATCGATTTAAAAAATTTATTTAATATTTATATTTGATAACCAAAATGATTTTCAAAGTTATAAACCATAAATTCTAATAATCATATTGTATTATATAATAAAGGAAGGATATATATAAGCATATAATAAAGATATATATATATATA